GTAGACAGGCCTTGAACTCGTCTAGGCGGGTTCAGAAAGGCCATATTTTTGGCTGAGCCTACGGGCTCGGAGATACCCACTTTAAACCGGCCTTGTGCCACATTTTATCCTCGTGGGTGGACAGATAAATACAAGAAAGAGACGATTAATGTATCGTCCGAATTGCTCAGGTCTTGAGAAACTCGAAAAAACAGATGCTGTTTACAATAACTTATCGGTAGAGAAAACGTGTGACCATCGAAAATAACGATCTAAATTATTCTGCATAAAGAACCAGGAAACATCTGGTTTATGTAGAAAGGTCGTGTCGACCATCTAGAAAAAATATCATTGCAGAAAGATGAGCACTATACAAGGGAAATACCATAACGCCCAAGATTAAAGACGGGACTTTATCTTTCTTTATATGAGACTCGTCTCAAATCTTTATAGCTCACATTATTTGGGATTTCTGGCACAAACCAAATTTCGGTTTACGACGGAGATAATGAAATTTGGCCATTGCGAATTGTCATTATTTGTTGTCTCTGTAAGTAAAGGAAGCAATCAATCATTGTTATCTATAGATGGCCAGCGCGTGTTGACTTGGTAGACATTTTCTCCCAAGCCTAGTGCAGACGTCAGACGAGGGACATAACTGCATTTCGGTGGCTCGGTACGGGCCGGAATTTAAGACAGTCGTTGCTAAAGAGCACACCCGCAATTTCCGGGCCGGTACGAAAACGCAGACACACACTTGACGGAAGAATTAAGGAAGTCCGACGATCTGGCTATTACTTGAACTGTGGCAGTCAGAAATCTCCCACGCATGAGCGAGGAATTGATTGGACATCACTTTAACTTTCTTTTTATGTGCCATGTCCTCTCAGGACGTAGGCGATCATAGCCGTCCACCTCCCTCTATCTCTTGCAGCTCTCCACAAGTTCCTTCCCTCTGCTTTCTCACCCTGACCACGTTCTGTCATCCACTTGCTTAAGCCCACCAGGTATGTCACGCGTTGTTTTCCCTTGTCTATCTTTTCGACCCGTGAGTATCAGATTCTCCAGGCCCTCCTTCCTCATTATGTGTCCCAGAAACTTCAGCTACCTCTTCCTTATTTTAAGTATAAGCCTCTTTCTTATGGCACGTGGAACTAGAACAGTCTACCCCAGTGAGCGAAATAAAGGGTTCAGTTCGACATTCCAACTACCTGAAGAAGGCCGGAGCGTACAACGGCCGAAACGTTGTGATAAATATGGCGACAAAGATGAGGACAATAGTCCGAATAATGTAAATAAAGCCTCCTTCTTGTTTGCAACCTCTCTAAGACCTCGTCATTGCTCACACGCTTGGTCCATGATATCCTTAGCATTAGTCTATAGAATCAGATTGCAACTAGAATCTCCAAATCATCACTCCTACAGAAGAGTATTTTGATTTGCAGTAGCTAATAGAGACATTTTATTCAACCATTTTCTTTATATTCAATAAAACTGTTGTTAGAGTTATTAACTGTGTTGTGAATTTCATTGAAGTTCTTATTCCAGCCTGAATTAACACGAGCGCATGGATGAAAGAGACAAAAGTTTACCACCTCAGTGTACGGGGATTGTGTAATCTTAGTCAGGAATTATGTAGTCTACCGCGGGAGTTACACAGTCTTGCCTATAGTACACAGCGTATATAAGGCGTTCACGTTAGACTTCGCAGTCAATGCCAATATCGTAAGATTTAGGGAAACCTGAATCAACCCTATCAAGATGACACACCGGCTTAAAGAAAGCCGATTGACTGTAAGGTCGGTATTATCCAATAAAGCCAGCGACTTGCAACTGAAAGGAAAAAGAGAAGAGATAAAGTTCGAGTGTGGAGTGTGGTGTGTGAGTTGACAAGTCAAACGCAATGTTTTAATGTCATTTTCGAAATAACCAGGCAATTTCACACCAGAATGGTATATTCTCAATATGGGCGGGGGCGGGATTTTGGTGCTTATATTGTAAATTTACTTTTTTTTTCTTCTTATTACTATAGATTAAGCACCTGGAGATGTCAGGATAAATCAAGTATAGAAATTGAACTATCTGGGAAGTATTTTAACAGGCGACAGAAGGTGTGATACAGACATCCAAGAGCGCCTTTGAATTGCGAACGCTGCTTTTCAAAACCTAAACAAAAATATTAAGAGATAGGAACATTTCGTTAGAAACAAAGGAAAGAGTGCTGAGCTTCTACGTAATATCATTTCTCCTATATGACAGTGAATGCCAAGCAATTTTCTTAGATACAGATGAGACTTGAGACAACAGAGGGATTATGGGAATAATCGACAGAGCCTGTGAGTAAAGAGGAAATTTTAAGGAAGATGGAAATGAAAAAGAGACTTAGAATCAGAAAGAGACATTTGAATATTCTAGAACATCATGAAGAAAGAGGGCTTGGAAAATTTGATACTCACAGGGCATTTCAGGCAAGAGGAGAAGAAGTAAATTTCGAGTAATGTACGTAACTCATTTGTGTAAATGTTATGGAGTGATTTCACAGTGGAGGCTTCTATTTGTACTAAATCGGTCCTAAAATAGGTTCGACGTACAAAACGTTAGGAACTTGATATAATAGGTATAACGCAGAATAATCTAGTTGTGGTCGCTGATACTTTAGTATTCGACTAACTGTCGTCCGACCTCGACTGACTGAACTAATTCCCTGAGCGACTGCCTTGTTACTCTTACTACTCCTACTTATTATAGGTGGGATAGTCTATTAACTATAGAATAGGTGTGTTCCACTATAACAGTAAATGAATGTCAGAACATGGAAGGGATAGTAAAGGGAAAAACATTACTTAACGTTGCAAAGGATAGAAAGATGTGGAGAGCCATGATTGCAGAGACACGGTACATATTATTTTGAGAGAGAGAAAGAGAAAGAAATCTGACTGAATGCTTGTCGTTACTGTTCAATTTATTATACATTTATTCAAACTAGTATCCTGATTTTGATTGTTATAAAGACTACTGTAGCTGAATAGTTTGAGGGACACCGGATAACTCCTCCTTAAAATTTCCTGTGGGTGGATAGGGTCGAGATAAATAATAAGTAGTTGTTAATGGTAATCGTAATATTAGCCGTTTCCCTATAAGGAAACATTTGTCATTCATTGACCGAGCAGCCAGTACTGCTTTCAGTTGGAATTTATAAAATGCTTTTCTTAAAATAATTTTTCGAGAAAGCAGTTTTCTCAAGTCAAGTAGCTGTTATCGCGCTTTCCAGTATTGATAGGAGTTTCCTTGTTAACCTTTTGTTTGAAGTCGTGTGGAATGTCAGCATTTTGATTTATGACATTTTTTTTCTCTCCGAGTTACATGTGCTATCCTTTTTAGTTGTTGCTTCTGTTGGTAGTCCTCAAGTGATGCAGTTTCTATTATTTGGTACAGTTCTTTGTTAGTGATTCTGTAGCGCCAGTGCAAAATGTTCCAAGAAGGATGGTCTTTGCCAAGAACCTTGGGCTTCACTCGCTCAAAAACATTTTACCATAGAAAAATTAGATAAGTGAAGATAAATTAGCTCCCTAACTTTTGTTGAAATCGGAGGGATAAGAACACATGTGTAATTCTGGTTTACTAACAACTTGACTTTGTAGAGAGAGCGAAATAACAATAACAAGTGCCTTTAACTACACACTTCTAATTCGGAGTATTGAGGAAAACACGGAAAGGAATTTGTGAGCCTATGTGAAATTTTCTTTGGACCATTGAAAACCCTAACTTCACAGAAATTGACGAGGATAAAATAAATTCGCGAACCTATGTGAAGTTGTTTTGGACCAATGAAAACCTTGTGTTCACAGAAATTATTCACTGAGTCAAGAAGAAGAAAAAAATAGAGAGCCTATGTGAAATTCTTTTTGATATAAAATGAGACGAAAAATTAACTTAAAAAGGGAGGAGTATCTGAAGTAATGTGAAAAGTTCGTTTCTGTTCACCGCGTCCAGCGTTGAAGTTTTCGCCAGTGTAAAATTACTCGCCAATTATATTATCGGCTTTTAACCAAGCACACGTTAATTCAAAGAACTTTCTCGCAACAAACCAAGAAAGCTAAGCATTTCAAACTATCTCACTTTGTCTACTTTTGAAATTATGCAAACTATATTCCCCTTCTGTGAGCAACAAACTCTCTTACTTTTGTTTTAAACATTTTTGAATATTATTTTGTGTTAGATCATTTAGTCTGTTGTATGAACATTTTCTCTTCATGACAATTCGTTAAAACTACGGACTTTAAAAAATTCTGATTTATTTTCCGTAAATGGGCTAATGACACAACTTTAAGCGTGTAAATTCGGAAATAAATTCTTTATCTTGATTTGTTAAAATTGCGCTTGTGTTTCGTCAACATTATCATCCTCCATTAATCTTCTTGGTGTGGGTAAATTAACTGTTTATTTTAACTTCGAAGGCCCATACCCTAATAATTTAGATTCCTGACCGATAGTTTGAGCAGTTTTATATAATACCGTGTGGGGCCCAAGTCAACTTGGATTGAATCAGACTGAGATATTATTCCGATAATTTATGGAATGATGACGTCTTATTACTGAACGTCTTTTTAAACACCAACAGTTTTCTTTAGCTAAGGTATCCCATTACTTTTGGAGAAGTTCATGAGTTTAAGAGATAGTGTTTTATTTATTTTAGTTATCTTTCTAAAGCTTATTTGAAGTGTGAAGAGTGTAGTTTAAACTGGAGAAAGTTTGAGAATTTTTCCCAGAAATTTCACCTTCGATTTGAAAGTAGAGATTACGGGATATAATTTTCGCATTTTGTCCGGCAAATCCTTCCGAAAAAATAAATAAAAAGGAAAAATGAACAAAATGAAAAGAAATGAATGATTCTTTTTTGTCTGTTGGAAAAATGGCATTAATGGAGAAATTGATTTTCGAGGAGAAAGAATTAGATATTTCGTTAGAAGTAGAAACTTTGGAATGGTAAATGGGAGGCAGAATTTTTAACGGTTCAGCAGATCTCTCTCTCTCTCTCTCTCTCTTCTCTCTCTCTCTCTCTCTCTCTCTCTCTCTCTGTCAATTCGCATCTATCTATCTATCTATCTATCTATCTATCTATCTATCTATCTAAGTTAGTTCGTATGTATATCTCAGTCAATTCGTATTTATCTATCTATCTATCTATTTATCTATCTATCTATCTATCTATCTGAGCCTGTTCGTTTTCTTTCTTTCTTTCTTTCTTTCTTTCTTTCTTTCTTTCTTTCTAAGTCTGTTTGTTTTTTGTCTGTCTGTCTGTCTGTCTGTCTATCTATCTATGTCAGTTTTTTGTATCTATTTATGTATCTGTTTTTTCATCGTTCTAATACCTAGTATATAAACCTTCTGCCTGCTTCGATGTCGAAGTTCGGATTTCCACGTTCGCTTTTTATAATGTAGAGAACATATTTACTGGATACACGGGTTTCAGTAGACGTCCTGGTTTTTACCTTATAGAATTAAGTAAGTACAACCTTCCCATGTATTGCAACCTCTTCGGGAATATGCTAAGGATAATCCCTGGCGCTTGAGGCGTCCTCAAAGGCAGAATTGCCGAGGAGCACAAACTTCCATTTTAAACTCAGTTATTTAAACTTTATCCCACTTTCAGGCTACAGTTTTATTTAAAAACAGAGATTGTCCAGCTTCTTTGAAACGGATCTTCTGGAAAGAGGCATTCCTCTGGAAATGAGCCGCCTACAACGCCTAATTTAGATTGCGAATCTGGGGTCTGTAATTCTTTCGTGGCTGAAACTACGTTAGCTCGAACCTAAAACAACCTGTGCTACCTTAGGACAGAAAACGGTTTTTAAAGCATATATTCTAAGTATAAAGAAGGGACTTGAAACAACAGAAATGTGGTTCTACGGCGAAGTTATAGAGAAAATGGAAACAAACAGGAAACTTATGCGTAAGACCAGGAAAATAAAGTTGAAATTTCTAGAGAAGAAAGAGGGTTTGGCAAATCCGATACTCACGGGACAGATTGAAAGCAAGAGGAAAATAATACATAACAATAACATATTTAGTGAGACTGAGTTAATGGATGGTTGAACAAGGTTTAGGAGAAATAACAAAAAGACAAATCTTATTAAGAGCTATCAAGGACAAGAAATTGTAGAGAGCCTTGATCGCCTACGTCCTGAAGGGACACGGCACATTAGAAGAAAAATCCAGTCACACTATCCAGTCAGGCATGATCATTGGCTTTATGCTTCAAGAGCAGACAACTGTTTATGCCGTATTAAAAACGCGCATGCTCAAACTATGATATACGACTCGGTTGTCAAACAGACGACAAGTCGAACAAGAATTGAAATCTATCCAATCAATTCACTCAGACGCAATGAAATGAATTACTGTATAAATGTCAAAACAATAAGAGATATCTTGAGCAGTTTATAGGGTCGGGGGTGCGCGGAGGGAGAGTTTTTTTCTTCAGAGATTCTGTCACTATAGTGACATTGCTTTGATCACTGACTATATTTCTAACTGTTTAGTTTACAGAAGCGTTTATTTTCGCCAGTCGGTAAAAGGATTTCTTTTCGTTTTTAGTGACATGAGAAAGAAATGCTGATAAAACGCTGTAATTTTTACACGAGTGTCAATCTTTCATGTACTGTTTCTTTTCACAATGTGGGCGATCACTGAGAACCCTGATAGCCGACATCTTTCCTTACTGAATTCGTTAGATAGATTATTCGTTGTTTCCGTTATTGCTTTTAGTATCTCCTCCGAGTGTTAAATTCTTCCCTCCTTAAATATTCAAGAATTTTCCACATTTTCCCTTACTGAATTCGTTAGATAGATTATTCGTTGTTTCCGTTATTGCTTTTTTCTCCTCCATTTTTTCATAAACATTCTTCTTCTTTTACTCATGCTTTCCGCCCATAAACGGTATTCTCATGCTCCGCCCACGGTATTCTCAGCATTCTTCAATAGAACCACATCTCTGTCGCTTCAAATTGTCCAGTTTTCACTGTTATAAGGACATTAACATGACATGACTAAAAACTGTGTGTACTCCATCCCGTGCAGCTGCGGAAGGAAATATAAAGGGGGGACAGACTGCCTCCTTATGTAAGGCTTCAAGAACACAAAAAGCTGTAACACGAGGGAAAATAGAAAAACAGGTATTGCTGACAACATATGGACAGAAAAGGGAAATCACCGCCCTCTGTGGGATTAGGTTGAAATCTTAGACAAAGAACACCATTGGAAAATTCGTAAACTTAAGGAATCAGCACCTATGCTAGTCAAAAAAAAAAAAAAAATCTCCTGAGCCGACCAAGCATAGAAATAAATACAATATGGGAACAAGTAATAAGGAGTCCCAGAGAAAAAACAATAACAACAACGAAAATTGCAATATGAAGTCTGGTAAAAAACCTGCAATGATAACAGCAAAAATGCAATATGAGTACTGGTAAAAATGGTTGCTGAAGACATTAGGTTTATAATACCCAGAAATTCATACACAGATGTCCTCAAGGACACATGGCACAGTGGATAAAGGCGTTAGATCCAGTGACAGGACCCAAAGACTGTGAGTTCAATATGGAGAACTTGGAGAGGGGAATTAACAGGAGATAAATGAAAGCTGACATCCATTAGAAATGGCACGTGGAACTAGAACAGTCTACCACAGCGAGCGAAATAAAGGGTTTTAATTCGACATTCTAACCACCTGAAGAAGCGTACAACAGCCGAAACGTTGTGATAAACATGGCAACAAAGATGATAGGATGATAGTCAGAGCAATATAAAATAGTGTACATAATACTTTCTCTTAGAAATATAGACAGATACTGAGGCACATTATTATTATAAATAAATAAAAATATCATTATAAAATAGTAATATTGAAAATTATAAATAAATAAAAAAACGTTGTTATAAAATACTCCTAGCATGCAACAAAAACTGTTCCTGTCGGAAATACGAACATAACGCCAAAAGATGTTAAATTCAGTCTCTAACATCGGTAAAGGCAACACTTGTGTAACTTCTCACTGTGATATGGCTTGTAATACTACGGAGTAAATTCTCCCTTTTATCACATGTACCATAAAACAATTGTAACCTAAAAACACACATACAAAAATATGAATAAATTAACATACAATTTAAATACAAATTTAATTTCAAATACAATTTAACATGATTTTCCTGTTAATTGTGTATGCTTTATTTCCCGTCAAGTATGCTTTTATAACTGTGAACACAAGACTAATTTCTGCTGCTATGATGTGAGGGAATCCCCCCACACTCTCATATGTGTTGATTGTTGTGTAGCAGTTTAGCACTCTTTTCTTGATTTCTAACAAAATTTTCGTGTTTCTTTATACTTTGCTTAGTTCCGGAAAGGCATCTTTGGTAATTGTAATGTACCTTCAGATTTCCGTGTCTAATTTTCAACCGTATGTTGATTGATTGATTCGTTTTCTACGGCTTATCAACCATTTGCAGATTATTTAAAGCTAGGAAATATTTTTAGAATGTTATATTTTTTAGATAAAAATGACTTTAATGATCCAAGCCTTATTAATTAACCTGTAGCTGGGGGGGGGGGAGTACGTTTCCCAAGGGTATTTACGCGTGATTAAATATAACGAACTCATAAGTATAGCAAAACATTACTACTATAGTAAGTTCTTTTCTCAAGGTCTCTTACCAACTTTATTAAGATAATTCAACTGTTAGGTGTTCTTTTCTCAAGGGTTATTCTCCAATATGTATCAAGAATTTAGTAAGGTATTACTAAGGTACTTTCATTTCTGAACATGTCAGACTAAAATAAATTGTACTCAGTAGGTATTATGTTAGCAGAGTAGTTATAGTAAAGACTTGCAAAATTGAAAAGTTAAATTCGCACGGTGACTTACCCATTTCGTTTATCTGTTGTTCTAGAAACAGGTGTCTTAACCTCTCACGGTGTCTTCCCCATTTTTCTGCTATTCTAACAAGAGTAGTCACTTTATTTCTTACAGTGTCTTTCCGATATTTGCCTGCTGCTCTCAGCTCTCAGCTCTCAGGGTGTCATCCCCATGTTTTGTCTATTATCCTAGTAAGAATGCTTTCTTTACAACTCACGCTGTCATCCCAATTTTCTGCCTGCTGTTCTAGGAAAAGTAGTGTCTTCACTTCTCACGGTATCTCTCTCATTTTTGCCTGCTGTTCCAGTAAGAGTAGTGTCTTCACTTCTCACGGTATCCCTCTCATTTTTGCCTGCTGTTCCAGTAAGAGTAGTGTCTTCACTTCTCACGGTATCTCTCTCATTTTTGCCTGCTGTCCCAGTAAGAGTAGTGTCTTCACTTCTCACGGTATCTCTCTCATTTTTGCCTGCTGTTCCAGTAAGTGTAGTGTCTTCACTTCTCACGGTATCTCTCTCATTTTTGCCTGCTGTTCCAGTAAGAGTAGTGTCTTCACTTCTCACGGTATCTCTCTAATTTTTGCCTGCTGTTCCAGTAAAAGTAGTGTCTTCACTTCTCACGGTATCTCTCTCATTTTTGCCTGCTGTTCCAGTAAGAGTAGTGTCTTCACTTCTCACACTGTATTTTATTTTTTCTGCTGTTCTAGTAAGAGATGTGTCTTCAGTTCTAACGGTGTCATCCCCTATATATGTCTAATGTTCTATAAGAATAGTACCTTCATTTCCCACGATGTCTTCCATACTTTTTGCCTGCTCTTCCAGTAAGAGAAGTGTCTTCACTTCTCACGATGTTTTCAATATTTTTGCCTGCTATTCTAGTAATATTAGTGTCTTTACTTTTTTCGGTGTCATTCCCATTCTCTGCCTACTGTTTTAGTAACAATAGTGTCTTCACTTCTGACAGTGACTTCCTCTTTTTCTGTCTGCTCTTTTAGTAAGAGTAGTGTCTTCACTTCTCACGGTATCTCCCCCATCTTTGTCTGCGACTCTAGTAAGAATAGTATCTTCACTTCTCACGGAGTCTTCCACATTTTTTGTCTGCTGTTCTAGTAAGAGTAGTGTTTTCACTTCTCACGGTGTCATCCCCATGTTTAGCCTACTCTCCCAGTAAAAGTAGTCTATTGACTTTCCACGGGGTTTTCCCATTTTTCCCGCTGTTCTAGTAAGAATAGTATATTACTTCTCGGTCTCACATCCTTTTTTTCGATGCTGAGTAGTAGCTGACGCTGTCTTCCCATTTTCTCGTCTGCTGTTTTAGTAAGAGTAGTGTCTTCACTTCCCACGGTGTCTTCTCCGTGTATTGCCTTCTGTTCTATTAATAGTAGTGTTTTCACTTCTTTTGTTGTCTTCTCCATTTTTACTCTAGTAAGAATAGTATCTTCATTTCTCACGGAGTCTTCCGCATTTTTTGTCTGCTGTTCTAGTAAGAGTAGTGTTTTCACTTCTCACGGTGTCACCCCCTTCCTGTTTTTGCCTGCAGCTCGCTAATATGTAGTGATTGTTATTCTCATCGTGTCCTTATCCCTATGCAAGACCAAGTTAAAACGAGCAGAGTAGGCGATATGTTGGAATTTTCTGGCAAACAGAATGCTGTTCTAGTAATAATAGTTTTTGCTTCTTTCGATGTCTGCTGCTCTAGTTTAGAGTAGCATTTTCACTTATCACGGTGTCTTCCACATTTTCTGGCTGCTGTTTTAGTAAGAGTAGTGTCTTCCCTTCCCACGGTGTCCTCTCCATATATTTTCTGCTGTTCTAGTAACAGTAGTGTCTTCTCTTCCCACGGTGTCTTTCTCTTTGTTTGTCCGCTATTACTAGTAATAGTAGTGTCTTTACTTCTCACGGTGTCATCCCCTTTTTTTGTCTGCTGTCTTAGTAATAGTACTCTCTTCACATCTGACGTTGTTTTTCCCATTTTTTGTGCTGTTGTAGTAAGAATTTTTTGTGCTGTTCTAGTAAGTCTAATGTCTTAACTTCTCAAGGTGTCTTCTAAATTTTTCTTCCTGCTGAACCAGCTAACCAAGCTCGCACATATGTAATGATTGTCATTGTCCTAGTGTCCTTATCCTTATGTCAGACTAAGTTAAACCGATCAGGCGATATGTTAGCATGGTGGTGGCCTGACAGTGTTGGTGTCTGTCGCAAATATCCTTCAACTGTCACCAATTAAATTCTATCGCTACCTCAGTGGAACCCCCAGGCGAAAGAACTTGGGTAGGGCTGGCTTCTCTTATAGTCGCCATTACACCTGCTTCAGCTGTAACACGTTATTAACCATTTATAGACTTCTGGACATTTTTCAATTTTTTTTTAGAAATGTTGATTTCTATTTAATTGCCACATGATAGCTGTTGGGAACGTTTGACGTCGAAAACTTCTGATGTCAGTAAAATGGAGGAGTCCACTGTGTAGTGTGGCGAATACACAAAATAACATACTAGGCTGACTGGAAGAGGATGAGATTTAAAATATAATGGCCGAAGGAAATGAACTGAACATTTTGTGAATTAAGAAAATACAGAACTACAGAAAAGTGGAAACAAGAAAAGGCGATTAAACTTTCTTTATTAAAATAGATTTTTAATCTTTTATAATTACGTTTTGGGTGCGCCGTTACTGACTCGGACAGTGAAATCGGCGAGCCGAGTTCAAATCTCTGTCCATTCTGTTTCAATCACTTACACAACAATGTACTTGGAAAACCATTATTCCATCTTCCTTCAGGTATCATTCATCCTTATTTTGAATATTACTGCCACATCTGGTCTCCTGCTATATATTTAGAGATTCTTGATAAAATCCAAAGAGAAATCTGCAATGTTATTGGTCCTGACTGGCATCTCGGCTTTAGTCACTTTCCCACCGGCATAACGTAGCTTCTCGTTGTTTTTTCTGTAAATACTTTCATAGTAATTGTTCTGATGGACTTTCCTCTATGTTACCTAGTCTTTATGAAATTAAATGCAGTACTAGATTGACGGTAAGGTCTCATCATTTTACAGTTGAAATGACTAGATGTTACCGTAGGTTCTATGCTAACAGTTTCTTCTATTACCTTTCTTGCTTGTCGAACTCTCATCTGACTTCTTGTTTCCAAGTCAACTTTGATCTTCAAAAATTTAAATGCAATGTCAGTCGTTATCTACTGTCTTCTTTATTCTTGTTCTGTTACTGTCCTCTCTCCTTTATACTATATTTTTCTCATATTCTCTAACATTTAGTAACCCCCTTGCGTCATAGTGGCTTTAATACCTTGCTTGGGGTGAAATGATAAAAATGCTTGGCGAAGGAAAACACTGAAGAGAGATGGGTTCCATGTACCCGTGTGGCTTTCTACCCTACACCACTTCTTATATGGCTGATGTACATGTGGTGCTCCCATGACTCTAGTTGGTTACGGACCTCATTACTTGACGAATTAAGATTACATTCTTTTTATTATTACTATTATTAGAAACAGTTGAAGCTTTGTTTTAAAAGAAAGGGAAAGGCATACTGATTTAATGAGTATAGCTTAGTTGTGGCACAAGGCTAAAATTAAGGAGCATACAGTGAGGTTCGAACTCACTACTCATCTCCAATTGATCTAGTGAGACAAGCTTGCTAACCATAACATTAGGTCGAAGTGCTCTTTGATTTACTAAGCATAGTTTATTTCTGGCACAATGTCGAGATTATGGATCACTTAGAATCGAATTCTCTTTTCAGTAATAATGAATCTAGTGTGAATACCTTGATAACAATTACACTACGTCGAATCACCGACAAAGGACGGTAAATGCATAGAATTGTTTAAAGGAGAATATCTATCAACTTATTTAAAGTAAGAAAAGTACAGACTTATAAAAAGTAAAGTAAGTACAATTGTATGAATTAAGAATAGCATAGAATTATTTATATACAAGGCAGCTTTTGAACTTTATTGTTACACCGGCCTCGAACACAAGGGAATTACACCGGTTCTCACTATATATATAGTGTCAGTAGTACCTAACCGAAGTAGCAGCGACAGTACTAGGGAGTAAGAAGCGCTCCAGACCTTTGTGGACTGTGTTTTTGACTTCCGTTTTGATTGTTTTGATTTTTTTTGTAATGCTGTGTGGCGGGCCTGTTTCTGATCCGCGAAAATTTGTTCTATTGCTGTGCCTGACTTTTTGGACGAACTCTTTTGAAACACCGACCCTTTTCGGATAAGTTATTGTTTAAGTTTTTATTCTTTTAATTTTTTCCATTTCTTTTGTTTGTTTTTTAATTTGTTTTTGGGCTTCGGCCCACATTTTTTCTTTTTTTAGTCCGGTTTGACAAAGTCTTACCGGACGACTGCTTTCTTATTTTTGTTTATTTTCTCTCAGTTTTTTTAAAAAAAAAAAAAAAAAAAGAACAGTTTAAGACAAAAGAAAAAAGAAAAGGGAAGCTTTGTGTTTTTTTTTTCTTAGCGACTCCGGTCGCTTTCTTTCTTCTTTTTTTGGTTTGACTAGTTTGTTTTTTTTCTTTTAATTTATTTTCTTTAGCGGCGTCAGCCGCAAAACTTTATTTTTTTAATCTTTTTCTTTTTTTTACATTTTTGAATTTTTGTGGAAAAAAAAAGAGAGGAGTTTCTGTTTTTTCTTTTCATTTTCGGCTGCCTTTTGGCGCCATTTATATTTTTTGTTAAAAAGAAGTCTTACCTGTTTATTTTCTTTCAGTTTATCTAGTTTGTCATTTATTTTATTTTACTTTTAGTTTATCTTTAAAGTTTAATTTCCTGGGTTATCCAGGCTTTCTTTATTTGTTTTATATTTTTTTCCCCAATTCCTCTCCCCGTGTTTGTGAAAATTTTTTGAAGACCCGCAAGTGGTAGTCTCCACGCTTTTTGACAACATGGCCGACGAAGGCAGTCGGTCGTTGGTAAAGAAGGACCTTTTCGGGAAGGTTGCTAATGCCGACCCACCTGAAAAAACTGGAAAAGGGCGGGCTGAAAAGAGCCCAAAAACTGACCCTAGTATCTCCAAAAAAGGAGATGCTACCAAACTTGACGAAGTTCCAAAGGAGGCACAATGTAAGACGCCCGAGGAGTTGCCCTCCTGCTGGAAGTCCCCCACTAGTTGTATTCTGAACATGGCGGATTTCCTGGATAAGGCGAAAGGCTACGCCCATCTTGTTAATAAAGATGGGTTCGTCGATGTTGTCCAGGAACTCGATATGTTCTCAAAGAGAATGGTGACCGTTTTTGCGGTGGACAAGAAAACACGTAAGATTTGTCGCTCCACAAAAGACACTGTGATCAAATCACTTTTGTCCCTGGGGATAAAACCCCAAAGAGTTATTAAGGGTACGGGTTTCTTCATGTGGGACATTCTGCTACCCACACCGGAAGATTGCCTGGCCATGGCAAAAAAGGAACTAATCACTAAAGATCTGATATTGAGAACGGAGTATGAAGGCCGCAGGCGGACCAGGGTGGCCGTTTTTGAGGTTCCTCCTCAAATTTCGGGAGAGCTTCTGGCTGTATTTTTTATGCAGTACGGCCAAATTTTAGGGGCTCTCTCCGACAATTTGAACGGGGGATGGACTTTTGACATCATGCTCGATCAAAAGGCCTTCAAGTCTGTCCCCAACTGTTTGGTGTTCGGCGACCGGAAAATGCCGGTCATAGTGACCGGTAGGCGACCAACTTGCTGGAGGTGTGGAGAGACTGGTCACCTTTCCTCCTCCTGCCCAGGGAAGAAGGCCCCTGGAGTTCCGGTCGCAGGCGACCAAAATCCCCCTGCCCTGAGAAGGAAAAAATGCCGAGGCGGCCAGACCGTGGCGCCTGTGGTTGGGCCCAGTCCCACATTGCCCCAAAACCGACGCCTGCCACAAGTGTGGTTAAGGAGAAGGATGAGGGGAATGGCGCCTCTTAGTTAGGGGCAAGGGGAAGACCCAAACAGCGGTTCCTCAGTCCCAACATGACTCCAGGGACATTATCACCTACAGCTCCATTCCCTCTGTCAGCTCTGAGGGCGACGCCTCGGTGTCTTATGAAAAAACAGCAACTGCAGCCCAAAAATTAAATGAGCCCAGTTGGGAAAAAATATTGGACCTGAAAAAACTCAAGGAAAATCTGGAGGCTAAGCGGGGTAAAAGTAAAAAATCGCAGGGGGCACCGGGCTTCTCTATCCTCTGCCCCGTCTTCCCCTTCTTCAGCAAAATTCACCAAGCCACATCGTCCTAAATCTGTGTCGAACTCTCCTGTAAAAATAACACACTCATCAAAACCATCACCAGTAAGAACACCTTCTGGTTGGACTCCATCTACAACGCCAAATCCCACATCCATGTGTACACCTGTGCATTCACCTCAAAAAAAAAACAGGGGCAGAAGCCCTGAAACTCATTCCACGACCGACAAGAAGAAAAAAAAATCAAACCTCCATATCTCCCAGGGGAAGACGTCTGCCGCGTATCCCGGGACCAGGCAGAAAGGGTCTTTGGGCAGACGAGGAACCCTAAGGATTTAAAAGTTCTCTGGAACTTTCAGAAGATAAACGGGGTCGAGTTTGAAAATCCCGAAAACTTCCCGTCTGCCAAAAGGATATTGACCGTAATCAGAACTGGCCCGGGTACGAGGGAGATTTGGGGCATGATAGAGGAGGCCCAGTCGTCCCTAAAAATGGTGCCTACCTTCTAGACCCTGAAAACAATGATGCAAACCAGAAACTTAAAGGGAGGGTCCCCGTTTTCGTTCACCCATCCCTTTATAGAGCCTTAAAACTCACCTACCCTTCGGACATCGGCGGTTTTTCTCAGGATGATACTGTCGAGAATGAGATGGCGTCGGGATCCATGGGACGAGCTGTCGGTGTCCTCACCCCAGCCATGTTCTATCCTGAAGGGCAACCCTAATCGGTTTCACAATGGCACTTTGGTTAGGATGATACTTTGAATGTCCGGGGCCTGAGGTCCGAGTCTCGCAGGGCGAGGCTCTCTCGTGACCTTCAGCGCCTCGGGGTGAATATATGTTGTTTACAAGAGACCCGTTTTTCTTCTCATGATCGTGAGGACATACTGTCTAAGGGTTCGCCCTTTATTCAGCATGTTTTGATGGTTGTTCGAGGGGTGTCTCTTGGCTAGTGAGCAGGTCTTTGAAGGCTGCATGTACCCTTGTCTTCGCGGATCCGGCGGGCAGGCTTTGCGTGCTGGATGTTACCATAAAGGATAAGGTTCTTCGTCTCATTGGGGTTTATGCGCCCAATATCCATTCCGAGCGGCCTGCTTTGTTTCGGCAGATCGCGCCGTTCTTGACGACGTCTCGTCGGGTAGTTTTAGCGGGGGATTGGAATGCCGTCCTTGACCCCGATATAGATCGTATAGGGCACAAAAAAGGTACTAACAACCCGGATGTGAAACCATTTCGGGACTTTATCGATGGGTTTGATCTCGTCGATAAGTTCCGGAATGAACACCCTCGGGAGGTAGCATGGACTTGGACAACTAGTGGCAACTCGGCTCCTGGCTCGCTTGCGAGCTACCTGGACCGAGTCTTAGTTAGAGAGTCGATGTAGGGCTCTTAGGGTGTCCAAGTTTCCATTATATAGTTTATACGGATCATAGGCTTGTCCGGGTCCGTGTAAACTTAGATAAACCTAAGGTTAGGTTGGCTGGTTACTGGAAATTGAACTGTTCGCTTTTCGGTGATCAGGGTTTCCGGGACCAGCTGTTACTAACGATCCAAAGGGAATTGACGGGAGCGGTTGTGGGAAATGCCTGGTGGGGCAATTTAAAATCTAAGATTCGAACGTTTGCTGCCGATTTTGGTCGTCGACTCAATCTAGATAGATTAGCGGCGCAAACGGCTTTAGAAAAAGTTGATCGGGCCGTGAAATCCCGTGTTAGTGGGGACATAGTCTTAGCTAAGGCAGAGTTGGCCTCCTTGCTTATCAAGAAGGATCAAGCTCTGGTAGTTAGGGCTAGGTTAAAAGAATGTCTTCTGAGGCTACGAATATGGCCGCTGAACTGCGTGTAGAGGAGAATCGAAACGCGTCTCGGCGACATATAGCGGGCGTCACATTACCGGATAAGCGGACCGTGACTGCAAACGCGGGCATATGTGAGGTCTTTCGGGATTACTTTCAGGATCTTTTCACCAGGGAGCCCGGTCTGAGCTCTGCTCAGTTCGACGCCTATTTAGCTAACTTTCCCTGCCTCTCGGCAGCTGAAGTGGCTCGGTGCGAGGGTCCCATAACAGAGTCGGAAATCTGGGAAGCGCTGAAGCAGGTTGGCCTGGATAAGTCTCCGGGATTAGATGGTCTTCCCTACGAAGTTTACTTGAGGTTGTCGCACGTTTTTGTTCCTTTGCTGGAACTGATGTACAACCACTGGATGAGGCAGGGGTCTTTACCTCAACGCTTCACCAGGGGTGTCATCAAGTTGCTGCGTAAGGACAAGGACGGTGGGGATGGGTTAGGGAACTTTTGCCCTTTAACGATGTTAAATACTGACTTAAAGATTTTGGCGAAGATCTTAGCCAACCGTTTGCAGCTTGTCCTGTCTAGTCTGATTGGCCCTGAACAGACTTGTGCTGTGAAGGGCAGGACTATTCAGGATAACATTCATATGGCACGCTTAATCTTAGAACAAGTCGACAGTGAAGCCGCGCTGATCAATTTAGATCAGTCCAAGACCTTCGATAGGGTTGACCATCGATTTCTGGAGGCTGTCCTTTCGGAGGCCGGTTTCGGAGCCGACTTTCGCTCCTGGATCCGACTCTTGTATGCGACCCCCGGTGCGCTGGTGGAATTGAATGGGGTAAGATCGAAGCCTTTCGTATTGTCTCGCTCCATTCGTCAAGGTTGTCCGCTATCGCCTCTGCTTTACGTTCTTGCGTTGGAACCATTCCTTCGCAAGTTAAAGGCGAATCCGGTCCTACGCGGAATTTCGCTGCCTGGTGCTTCCACCTCGGCCAGGTACTCTTCCTATGCTGACGACGTTTCGGTTCTTGTGTCGAGCAGAGCCGAGATTAACGAAGTCAGTAAGCAGATCAGTGGGTATGAGATGGTGACAGGGGCCAAGATCAACCGCGATAAGTCTGTGGGCTTGCGGTTGGGTGCGTGGAAGGGAGTTTCTCTTCCCGGACCTTTCCTCTGGACGGATGGGCCGATCAAGATACTCGGCGTCTGGTTCGGTCCTGGAGTTGAAATGAATTGGTCGGAGGTACAAGGGCGGGCCGAGGCCGCGGGTAATCTGTGGTCTCGGAGGAGACTTTCCTGAAGGGAAGGGCGGAAGTATGTTTCACACATCTATCCGATCCTCCTCTACCGACTCTCTGTGCTTCCACTCCCGTATGCCCGACTAATGTCATTAGTCCAGGTTTTGTTCTCTTTCTTGTGGAGAGGCAAGGCCCATATGGCATCTCGCGAGATCTGTTGCCTTCATCCCTCTGGTCTGGGTATGCCTAGCATTGAGATTCGTCAATATATGTTTCGCATTACCTTTCTAGACCGAATGTGTCGCGGTTTGGATGAGGTGGGTACCTTTTGGAAAGAAGATGTCCGTAAACATTTCCCATCCCTGAGAAGTGTGCACTCGTGCGAGGAGGAGGCCGGCCGTACACCTCGTGTCGAGTGCTCCTTCTACCGCGAATGTCGTCGTGCTTTGAAAATCCTCTTGCGGACGTCGGATGGCCTCTCCGACGCCCAAGCGTTGTCTCGTAAGGCATTATATCGATTGTTAGTTAGGGGGTCCGTTCGAGATGCTCTGATCGACGAGCTCGGTCTTACGAAGCAGGAGGCTTGCTCGATATGGCCTTGGGCGCCTGGCTTGAAATGTCTCACTAACGATGAGGCATCACTCACCTGGCTGATGATTCGTGGGGCCCTCTGGGTCGGCAAAAGACTCTGTTCAGCAGGCTTGGAGAAATATCCAAACTGTCGTCGCTGTACTGGGGAAGTCGAGACCATTGGTCACGCCTTTTTTTCAGTGCAAGACGGTAGTGCCGTTGTGCAAGTTTGTTGAAGGCCTCATGGTTCGCATGCTGCAGGGAAAGTTTTTTGTCCTGGAAGCCAGTTCTGTTTGTAGCAATGTGGTGCCGCAATTAACGAAGGCTGAACACTATGTTTACTATGGGTTATGCGAGTCGTGATTTGGACGACGCGACAGAAGGGATTCTATGAAGGCGAGAAGTTCACCTCTTCCCAACTGATCTTGTACTTTAAGCATCAGATTAGGACGGAAAGGCGGCGGCTCCCATCATCAGAATTCGGCAAAAGGTGGGTGAATCTTGCGCGAATGTGTTGAGTGAAAGGGGCTGACCTAGAGTGGCATTTGGATGTCGGTTAGGTACAGAATTTTGTCCTAACAGGTTTGAACATAGGCAACCCACCCAGATATTAGGCTAGTCTAGTTTTTCTGTTTTGAATTTTTAGTTTCTTTTTTTTCCCCGGTTAACTTAGCTAGGGTATGCAAGCTCATTGGTCCCTTTTATTTCTGTCCCTATTTTTTCTTTTGTTTAATTCCCCATCCCCTCCCTCGTTAGGTGGTCAGTTATGTCAGTTCTCTGGTGGATGCGGGGCGCCTTTCGTCTCGTGTGTGTGCTTTCGTATTTGTTGTTGTGTATGAATGAGTGAGTGTTTGTGTGAATGCTTGATGGTTTGAATGTGTTCCTATTTTCTTAGTCCCGCATCGATTTCGTCCGGTTAACTGATATTTCTGCCACATTCAAAGTTTGTGGGGGGGGGTTTAATACTAATACTAATTTTGTTTAGTTTATTGTAAATATATTACGTCATATTGTATATACGCATTGTTTTTTTTGTTTTTTTTTTAAATTGTTATTTTATGACCCTCCCCATGAACAATATCTGTAAATAAGGGGACTAGTTAGGACTTCATAGAGAAACTGAGGTATTATGGTGGACGTAGTAAGAAAGGTAGGAGTGAATGTGATGTTTTGGTGATTGGATTATTGTTGGCGTGTTTGGGTCAGTGTTTGTGACTAGCTAAGTTTTAGATTTAAGACAGAAGAAGACCGTCATTCCCCCGCTTTTTGGCCTTGTGCCGCATTTTGTATTTTTTTAATACAAATAAATATTAGCAGCGACAGTACTACACTGTCTAACTGAGTAGTACCCGTTTCCTACCTTTGTATCTGTGATGTTAAATACACTTGTTCCTTAACCCAACTTCGACTTGATTTTCTTATTTTACTATTGTGCCACGACACAACAGATTGGCGACGTCGGAATCAAAACGATATCACTGCAGACAATCACCTAAAGTGATTGAAATACAAGGATTCGCAAGACTTTTACGGCAAAACACCTTCGTCATTTCGAACAGATATGTGGATACGCAAGGATTAATAGCAAATTAATTACTACAATAGCAATTTGACGACGTAAAAAAAAAAATAAAATAGAAACAACCAAAAATTTGCTACTAAAAGTCTACAGCGTGAGAACGCGAATAATATTGTCAATTATTAAAATAGTTGAAAATACTGACACCAAGTGTTTCGGAAGAGAAAAGAGAAAAAGTTCAGTTTTTTTTTGTTTTTTACAAGAAACCAGAGTTTGTTGTCACGGTAAGATTTTTTTTTTCTCCTCTTCAAAGTTAAATGATTTGTCGAGTGAAAAATATATATTCGCGTAAGTCATTTGGGCTTAACAAAGACTTAAAAATTCAAGTCATATTTGTGCAAAGCCACAAAGAGGTTGGAAAAAAAATTTTGTGACTTTCCCATTAGTCGACACTCCTTGAAGCGACGTTTTTTTTTTTTTAACGAGAAATACATATTTGTTGTTTGTGTATTAGTTGAGCAAACTAATTTTATTAAGCAAGCCTTGGGAAAACTGATTTGTTTAATACAAGTGTAAACTGTATGGTGCGTAAATTGAATTCGTACCATGGACGCAGAATTAAGAGAGTCTCTTCTTCAGTTGTTCAAATTTCAAACGGAACAAAGTCTCGCGTTGCAAAAACGACAACTTAAAAGTGAGGAGAAATTTAAAAAAGAGTTGTTGCACAGGTCAGTGCATATTCTATTATATCAAATCTAGTCTGAATTTCCGCCTATAGCTTAACGAGGGAGAATAGATGAGTTCATTCCTTTTCAAAGGGCGTTTGTGGAAAGTGAAGGCATCAGGTTAATAACAGTGTTAGTATGTTCACATGGGATAGGTTTGGTCCGATGGTCTGCTTGGACATATCATTATCCGGTGATCAATACGTTTCCCTGCTCCGTGGACATTGTCACCTCTTCAGGGTATCCATGTACCACAGTAAGGATGGATTATTCTTATAGAACAATGAACTGTCTCATCAAGCCCAAGTTGCTCAGAATTGGTTTGAGGAGTACTCCGGAGGCTTTCGTCGAATGTTGTGGCCATCACATTCGTCCTACATTTTGAACCCAATTGAGCATTTATAGAACATGAGGGGGGAGGTCTAATTGCATGTTGAATTTTGTAGCAATTAATATCAGGCAGCTATGAACAGTTAAGATACAGCAAAGCTTAGAATATCTCCAGAGTTCTACCGATCGCTTATGTTATCAATGCCACAGTTACTACACTTCACTGGGCTAGAACAGGTTTTTTTTAAAATGTGGGTCCCGACCCATTACTGGGTCGCGAGATAAATAAAATGGGGGCGACAAAAAAGAAAGGAAGGAAGAAATACGTAAGTGAGAGCAAAGTGCAGAATATAAACAACACTAAATGTTGCACAGCACTCATAATTCATCGATAGTTCTTCACCGAGGTAAGCTCGTATTGTATATTATTTGTATATATATATATATATATTGTCATCCACAGACAGACTATTTCGCTGTATCACAGCTCATCAGTGTGACTAGACATCTCAGTGCCTAAAGCCAGGATCGAAACCCGGCTGATTTGGCATTAGTCGGAGATTTTACCCCTGAGCTATCAGGTAGAGAGGAAGGCGGATTTTTACGTACTTATTTTTCAAATAAAGAGGCCAATAATCAAGAGGGCTAAATTCATAGAAGGGCTTTGAAGTACTAGCAGTAGTAGTCATTGTTGAAAAATTCGCGCTTTCTCTCAAAAGTGCTCGACAGGAATTAAATTTTCAGGGGGCGTATATATTGTGACAGCCTATTCTCATTGAGTTTATGTGTCTTGTTCGTCAAACCCGTTGCTGACTGAGTGACGTCAGTTCTCTCTCACAAAGAGACATCGCTCCAAAACTTAGCTACGAAGGTGATGTGTGAACTGGGATTTTCCCCATTAACTCAGTTTAAGACGAAGGACAGAAACAGGCTCAACGCTGCACCTGATATGTGTGTAGTATTGTCTTCATGTGTTTCCAATTAGAATCAGCCGCCTATGAAGAAGAATGCACATCCATCTCATTAGATGATATTTTTTTCAATTATTATTTACTTTACTTTTGTGTCGGAATTTCCTTTCTAAAAGTAATAACTTCATATACTCATACAAATGACATAACGTAATTTAATGAAATGTAATTTATACGAATCATAAGAAATATCTGTCTATATTTCTGAGATGAGGTATTATGTACACTATTTACATATTTTGTGGCCTAGCATAAAGACTGTGTGTACGCTATAAAAATTGTCAATGCTAAATTAATAAACCTGGTGAAGAGAGTTTATATTTGATTTATTACATGTATGTATAAGGGGTTACGATGCAAAATGTGGTTTTGTTGTGGATCGCAGTAAAAAGAATAGATTTGAAAAACGTTGGTCTAGAGCAGGGGTCACCAAACCTTTTTCCCAGAGGGCCTGATAACTGAGAGAATGGCGAGTGTAGGTCAGATAACCATTTTGTTCAATACAATACACTGAATGCACAAAAAATAAAGACAACAAACATACTTATTTACTAAAAAGTTATCTAAGAAGGCGAAAATAGCAATAAAATAGTTATATCACACCAAGTGCACACATATCCGAATCTAACAAACTATGCAGCACAAAAGATTAATGAGATTTGTGAAACTGGCGTTTACCTTTTAAGATATGATTAATATTTGTTTTGGTATTGCTGCATCCAACCAGGAGAAATGCTCTCAAATGTTCATCAGTCAACCTTGTTACATGTGCTGACTTTACATACTTTAAATTTCATAATATGTTCAGGTAAAATATATGACATAATTCGCTGAAGTCAGTCCTTTTTATATACGACACTCTTCAAACTGGTTTAAACACGGCAATGCGAGTTAAAATATAATTGCTGCAGCCGGCTCGTCATCACTTTTCTTAGAAACTTCATTGCAGGTGCTTACACAAAAAGCGCTCGGATATCAAATGTTGCCGAAGTTTTTATTTCATTGATTTTCCTAATACTCATATTATTGTCAGATGCAAAAATCAGATTGCCCAAATTTTAGCATTTTACTTTCATTTATTTTAATTTTTTCTACATAGTAATTTAACTACAATCTATTAATAATTCCATATAAATAGTTATAGCTTAGCTCATTTGTGGCACAGTGAACCAACATTGAGGGAGGGATCCGGCCCGCGAACCGTAGTTTGGTGACCCTTGTTTATACAAAGCATGTATTTTAAAAAAATCATTTCGCCCTAAAAAAGGCAATAAAGCCACTAAGACCTCTGGCATGGGGGTTTATAACAGTGAAAGAATATGAAAAAAAAAGAAACATTTAAGGAGAGGAATCAATAAAAGAACAGTAATTAAGAATCATTTATGACGATTGACATTGTATTTTAAAATTTTGAAGATTTAACGCCTATAAAAAGTTCAATAAAGCGAGAAAGACGCAAGAAGAAACTGGCATAGAACTGAGTGTTATAAGAATATTTTCAAAAAAAATGATGAAACATTATTGCCAATCTAGAATCAATAAAATCTAACAGTCTAAGACGACAGAAGATGACGATTGACATTGTACCAAAAATTTGAAGATAGAAATTAACTGGAAATTTAAATTATGGCAGTGGGAAAGTTATCGAAACTGAGATATGAGGCAAAGACCCATAACATTGCATATTCTTCTTTGGAATTTATTACGAATTTCAACTATAAAATGATGAAACCAAATGAGAAAGCAATCTTCTATGCATGTATGCATAATACAATTTATAGTAGAATCTTATTACAGAATAATAATGATACAAATACATGTCTGTGCAGTGAAAATACTTTTATTTACTGATTTAAAATTCAGTTCTTTAGTAAAATAATTTTGTAAACTGAGATAATAAAACATTGTTACAAAATAATAATTATAACATATTAGACTTTGGAAAGGTTACGAATTTTTTAAAATATAAATTGAGATGTTTTTGTATTTCTTTATAGTAAAAGATAAAATTTCAATAACTATAGTGTATTTGCTTTTATTTTGACAAAGAATAAGCATTAAACTTTTAAAATTACTATACAACATCATATTTTTTTTCTTCAATAAAGCACGACCAAGCTTAATTACTGCTTTACAAATTCTTAGCAATGTTGAATTTTTATATTGCTTCCACTGAGGATCGAACTTACTACTAAGTAATAGGTCGACCAAATTAGCTTCGTTAAAAATTGTTTTACGCTAAGTCAGTTTCTCTGCTTTTATTACATATTACCCCTTGGATTATTGAAAATCAAATTTTTATTTTGCTGCCATTGAGGGTCGAACTCACTTTTCAGTAGTAATAAGTCAACCAAACTGGTATCGTTAACCATTACTCCACGCTAACTTAGGTTGGTTGTTTTTATGACATGTTTACCCTTGCTGGATTATTCAATGTTGAATTTTTATATTGCTACCACTGAGGATCGAACTCACTACTAAGTAAGTAATAGGTCAACCAAATCAGTTTGTCCGCTTTTATGACATATCGCCCTTTGTAAGTTTACTGAATGCTGAATTTTTTTTTTCTGCCTTTGAGGATCGAACTCACTTCTCAGTAGTAATCGGTCAACCAAACTGGACTCATTAACCGTTACTCCACGCTAACTTAGATTGGTTGTTTTTATGACATGTCTACTTTTTTGGATTATTTAATGTTAAATTTTTGTATTGACTGTAATGGTTTGTCAGATAATTTGCGAGAAAACAAAAAAAAAAAAAAAAAAAATGCAAACAGCATATCACAGACCGTAAGCACGTAGGTAACTAATCATGTCCGAAGAAACGCGTGTTCACAAATGAACGAAAGACATTTGGAAAATATTGTACGTTAAGACAGAATTTCATTTGTTAGTGATTGCAGAACATAAACCCTCTTTTCGATGTCTTTCTGTCCACCATGTTTAGCGATAGCATCTTCTATCAATTGTAGCGTCAAGTAATTATTGAATTCGTATCAATCTCCTTCCCGGTCTCCTGTAGCCATTAAGATTATCAACGAACAGAGAATGCATTGGTGTCCTCAGTAATGATTCAAAGAATTGTCGCAATGTTCTGGATCGCAAAAAGGCCATTGAAATGTCTTCATCTTTGGTGAGTAAGGCGAGCGAAGCCAAAACAATTATGTAATGATTTCAATCCGTATACATGTGCGTATGTCTGTGTGGGCGTGCCAAATTGTTTTGTCTGCGTTCGCACATACATTGTTACTCGCTGGGAATTTTGTGTGCAATCTTTTCCTCTGTGAAACCAGGCTTCTTTCTTTCCCATTTTTGTTTTGAATTCGATTTCCTTCTTGGCTGCTGTACAAGAAGCCGATACGAACTTACTTTTAATTGCATTTCAACAGAACGTTGTCTAATGAAAGAGAAATGTAACGTTTAATCGAATCTTGGATTTGCACCTGTTTTTATGATTGGATTTTACAAACATAAATGTGCATTCTGTGTATACGAGGACTTATCCAACTTTTATTTTAACTAATTGATCACCCAATACAAGATTAAAGTGTCACTCACGACAGAGTGTTACTAAAGGATATTGTTCTATGAACGTTGGTTGACAAGTTGATTTTTTTAGTGGTACCTTTATAGGTTATTTAATGCTGAAATCTAAATATTCCGAACGCAATTGCATGCCTTCAACTAGAAATAAAATGTACTGTTAGTCATTTTGCTATAAATTGTATTGTTGGTAATTCTGATATAAAAGGAACTGTTAGTCATTTTGCTTTAAAAATGTATTCATGGTAGTTTTAATATAAAAATGTATTTTTATACATTCATAGTGATTTTTTTTGTTTTTCTTTTGGGGCTGGGTCACTAACCCTAACCCTTTGCCCATAGCTGGGACCCTAACAGATGCTACTCTTTCAGGTCATAGTAAAAAAAATTATAGTTACTAAGACATTCAATTCATAAGTCCCAAAAATTCAAGTTTACATGGCCTAGTGGATAAAATTTTTACAACATCAAGCAAAAGTCATAAGTGGCGACCCAGAGACATATGATCAAGAAGTGGTCACTATAAGCAGTATCGTACAACGTAACAACTACCCTGAGTACATGCCAGCAGTGCTGACAGACTGGGATAGTAGGGTACAAGAGAATAAAAAGACTTAGAAAACAGCCTCTGTCTACCCTATCTATGTGAAGGGATTATCGGAGAAAATCCAAAAGATCTGTGGTCCATATAACCTCAGGACGACCTTCAAAAGTGTTTCGACACTTCACAGACACCTCTCCCGCGTAAGACCACCCACACAGTGGAGAACATGATTCAGGACTGTCTGTATGCTATCCGGCGTAGTTGTGGTAATAAATATAAACGAAAAAAAAAGGCACGGTGAGGGCGAACATGGCTCTCCACATCTTCGGTGTTAAAATGATCGCAGAAAAGATATTAATTTGAAAGGTGGCAATTAGTTTAGGCAATATTGAATGTCTACAAAAATCGTATGATAGAAAACTGTATGAACTTAAACAAGCAATGTTTCTTCTTCCATAAAACCGTCCCACTCTTCCTTTTACTATCCTTATGTTCTGCGCGTATCAAATTCACCCAGCCTTCTTCCCTCCAATTAGGTTTTTAATACCCAGAAATTCATACGCAGATATCCTCAATGATACATGGGAGAGTGTATAAAGGCGTTAGGACAGGACCCAAAGAGTGTGATTTCAATACCTGGTTAAGGTGGTGGAAAACTTGGAGAAGTCAATTAACATGAGATAACTGACAACTGACATCCATTAGACATGGCACGTGGAACTAGAACAGTCTACCCCAGTGAGCAAAATAAAGGGTTCAGTTCGACATTCCAGAAATTTGAGCAAAACTACCTCTTTTTATGTGGCGTGTCTTTTCAGGCGTGGGCGATCATGGCTCTCCACATCATCCTATCCTTCGTAGCTCTAAGCAATAGTTTCTTCACTATCCATCTTGCCTTCCTTTATATTCTGTGCGTGTCAAATTCTCCCAGCCCCCTTTCTTCCTTATGTATTCCAGAAATTTGAACAAATTCTTTTTATGTGCCGTGTCTTTTCAGGACGTGGACGATCGTTGCTCTCCACAACTTCCTATTTTTCGCAGTTCTAAGCAATGCGTGTCCTCTCACTGTCTCTCTCAGTCAATGTTATCGTACATTTATACAAGCTCGTTAGACAGACTAGTTTCCCTTTGATAATCTTGCCTTTATATGCTCTGTGCGTATCAAATTTTCATTATGTGTCCCATAAATTTCAATATCTTTTCATTAAAAATTCCTTTTTGTTCCCTTTCTATCACTTCGTCCCCAGCCCCACAACCTCCGGCGTCTTCCTCTTTGGGTTGAGGTGTCCACTCGGTCCGAACCGAAATTAGGGGTAACTGGCCGTACGCTCCCTGAGTACCCGTAGATTATTTCGACCGGTCAACTGGTCAAGTCTGCTTGCTGCCCACGCTGTGTTAGTTTTTAGATCCAGTAAGCAGGGTGTTGTCCATACGTTCACGGTCGACTGGGGATGTGAACACGGCTGTGAGAGTTGGCGGTAGGAAGCTTTAGAATGTGGCCAAATAAAACAAGAAATAATATCTGCAGAAGCCAGACAACAATGGGGGAAATATTGATGTCTTTTATATAAGAAGATAACATCGGAACAGAGGTTACAGGGAGAATAAAAACATTTAACATAAATGACAAAAGAAAACGAAAAAGACACAATGCATCCAGCGAATTCCCAACAGAGAGAGGGTTTGTGTGTGATAAACGCGTATTGAATCGCCTGGGGTAGGTTTATGACTAGTAGTCCAGTCTCATACAGACTTCTCAGAACAGGGGACAGTCTTCCTTCTCTAATTCTCCCGCAAATCTCTCGTGACTCTTTCGACGACGGTCTCGTTCTCCGAGTCTCTCTCCCGTCTTTTTGTAGCATCGCGACCCGTAATGGTCGCCTGCTGGTGCTCACGCACGTGACGACGATGTGCCGACCGATCGCGGTCTCTCCCGTCTCTCTCTCTCTCTCTCTCGTCTGGTCTCTTCCGTCTCACTCGACCGTCTGCTTCTCTCTCCAGCATAACTACGCTGGTTTATATAGATAAATCTGTTTGATCATGAATCGACACTTGGCCCGGCTCGTGATTATCATGAGTGCCAAAAACTATCCCTTGAAATGTAAACCGATTCTCCAATTATTTACCACGAGTTCTTCTCGCTTCACCAAAATTATACTTTGGAATATCTAAACATTGATTCAACCTTTTAATCAAATCAAATACTGTTAAACAAAACCAAATATCTCGTAGCCTGGGTAAGCTCTATTTCAATTTTAACCGATAAATTTTATTCAGATCATTTTTTCATTATCTTTTCTAATGACTCAGATTTAAAACATCGCCTCCTGCCCTGAGATCGTGTTTCTCATCGGTAAACACACATCTTAACTCAAATTGTACTTTGATATAGAAACACCATTTCCACTTCCAGTTAATAAAAGTTATATTTGCGTGTGTGCATTCATGTGAGTGTATATGTGTATACCTTTCTCTGTTACACATTAAGGATACTATCATATTTCAAGCCTTTCAAGGAAGCTCCGAATTTCGACCTTTTCAAGCCTTTCAACATAGAAGGTTACTTTGTGGATCTGGAACGCTCAAAAAGCACTTCCATATATATTAAATATAATTGCTTGTTTGCTTTATGCCATTTCAGATAGCGGGAGAAAGTTATAGTAATGTGGGGGTTTCGTAAAAGCGAAGTAGCGTAAACTGAACGTTTGATATTCGGAATATTCTTTTCATCTCCTTCTTTACGCAGTAAATCCCCGGGTTATAGGAATACCGACATACGACGATCCGTGGTTACGACGCAATCTTCATTATTCTTGCTTCCGGTTATGCCCTTTTCCCTCGAGCGTACGACGTAAATATTAATGTTCTCTATGTGCTTTTTAGTCCAAATTATGTTTAATTTATTTCTTAGAAATGTGTTATGCCCTAGATTATTACTTTACTATTGCGTTAGCATAGCTGAGTGACGTAAGTGTTTATTTACAAAAAAATCACGGATACGTTCCAACTTGCACGGAATATCGCGTTATGATGCATCGTAGGAACGGAACTCTGTCGTAAGTCGAGGACACTTTGTATTTGAATTTCTTAGGTGAATAATTCATATTGGGTTGTTCAGAAAATAATATCCGATTTTCGAATCAATTTTTACTTGCACGGAAAATCGCGTTATGACGTATTGTCGGAACGGGTCTCTGTCGTAAGTCGAGGACACTTTATATTTGAATTTGTTAGGTGAATGATTCATATTAGGTTGTTCAGAAAATAATAGCCGATTTTCGAATCAACATTTACTAGCACGGAAAATCGCGTTATGACGTATTGTAGGAACGGAACTCTGTCGTTAGTCGAGGACACTTTTTATTTGAATTTCTTAGGTGAATGATTCGTATTGGGTTGTTCAGAAAATAATATCCGATTTTCGAATCAATTTTTATTTGCACGGAAAATCGCGTTATAACGTATTGTAGGAACGGGTCTCTGTCGTAAGTCGAGGACACTTTGTATTTGAATTTCTTAGGTGAATAATTCATATAAGGTTGTTCAGATAATAATATCCGTTATTAGAATTAACTTTTATTCATGAATTAATATATTTAGACAATGTTTAAATCAGTCAAAATAGGAACCCTGAATATTTATACATTTCTGTTACAAGTTTATTTATGCCTTTGGGATTAAACTCTAATGGTTTGGGCACCAAGAATTCTTTGAATACAGTTTCTGCGTCATCTTTGTTACGGAATGTATTTTCTGCTTGAAACAGTGATAGTGAGAGATCAGAAGAACATGGTGGAGATTTTCTATCACAAATCAGTAAGATTCTACAGTGTCAACCTGGCAACATATGGCCGAGCATTTTCAGGAAGCAGAATTGAGCTGCGTCGATTAACAAGTGCCGGTTTATTTAACTGATTGTACATTTCTTCCAGCTGCTAGCAGTAAACTTCGGCATTGATACTCTGGTTAGATTTCAGAAAGCTATAATGGAAATATGCCAATAATGGACGACCAGACAATCTACATAATCTTCTCTTGGCGTAATTTCAGTTTCGGAAAGTGTTTGGGTGCTTCGTCAAAATCAAGCCACTGAGCCGATCGTTTACAATTATCTTAAAGGATCCATTTCTGATCCCAATTACATCAAGAAATAGATCACTCGAATTTCACAGATGCAGCATCGAACAGACTTCAAATCGTTGGACAATTTGACTGCACTAAGTTCATGTGGAACCCATTTATTGAGTTTCTTTAGCTTTCTAATTTTCCTGGAATGTGGAAATGCTAACACATAATATCTGAGACATTTCTCTTTGACTTTCACTGAATTCATGTAGAACACATTTGTTGAGTTTCTTTTCGTTTCTAATTTTCCTGGAATGTGGAAATGCTAACACATAATATCTGAGACATTTCTCTTTGACTTTCACTGAATTCATGTAGAACACATTTGTTGAGTTTCTTTACGTTTCTAATTTTCCTGGGATGTTGAAATGCTAACACATAATATCTGAGACATTTCTCTTTGACTTTCACTGAATTCATGTAGAACACATTTGTTGAGTTTCTTTACGTTTCTAATTTTCCTGGGATGTTGAAATGCTAACACATAATATCTGAGATATTTCTCTTTGACTTTCACTGAATTCATGTGGAACCTATTTATTGAGTTTTTTTACGTTTCTAATTTTCCTGGGATGTTGAAATGCTAACACATAATATCTGAGATATTTCTCTTTGACTTTCACTGAATTCATGTGGAACCTATTTATTGAGTTTTTTACGTTTCTAATTTTCCTGGGATGTTGAAATGCTAACACATAATATCTGAGACATTTCTCTTTGACTTTCACTGAATTTTAGAACACATTTGTTGAGTTTCTTTACACTAATTTTTGGGATGTTGTGTTTCTGAATTTATGTAGAACACATTTGTTGTGTTTCTAATTTTCCTGGGATGTTGAAATGCTAACACATAAATCTGAGATCTTTGAGACTGAATTTCTAGAACACATTTTTGACTTTCTTTTCGTTTCTAATTTTCCTGGGATGTTGAAATTCATAATATCTGAGACACACACTTTTTGAATTTATTGAACACTTTCTTTTCGTTTCTAATTTTCCTGGGATGTTGAAATGCTAACACATAATATCTGAGACATTTCTCTTTGACTGAATTCACTGATTTGTTCTTTCTTTACGTTTCTAATTTTCCTGGGATCCCATTTATCTGAGACAGTTTGGATCCCATTTATCGAGTTTCTTCGACTTACCAATTCCCTTGAGACAGTCTGATTTTGCTGAAATCTCGACAGCCATTATCCGAAACATTTCTCTGATAATTTGACGTGGGATTTGTTCGACTAATTTTTCATATGTTGATTGTTGATCTACCACTTTGATCTTCAATATTTGTATCCTCACCGCGGAACGTAGTACGGTAAGTAGTCACAAGTACATCCTTCACTCCATGCTGTATTAGAATATAGTGTATTAGAACAGAGGTAGCGGCTCGGATTGACGAATCGGTGAACCGAGTTCGAATTCTAGTCGAGTCCATTACATTCATTTACGTGCTAATACATTTGGGAAAGGCATGAATCCTCCTCTTCTCCTCCAGCTATGGGTAAATAGCAGGACAGACCGAGTTCTGTAGCCTTAGATGGTAACTGGTCTACTGTAGAAAGAAATGGCAACCTAATGCGGAAAAAAATCTGCCTCGTCAGTCATGTATCGAAAGATACATGATCGCCTAAACGTGTATCACGCATGGCACATAACTGACTGATATTAGAACACAAGAGTATCATTTCAAAATTGAACATTATTTTCCGAACAACCTAATAATTTTTTTCATTAGTTTTCTTTTCTTATCGTTGCTTTTTATCCCAACGTTCTAAATTAAATCCGTTGAAGTATTCGAGCGTTAAGCAATGGGGATAGGAAGTCTTTTCCGACGAGATTTAAACGTGGTTTAAATGAGACAACTGTAAAGGGATTATTCTCTTTTCTTTCCAAATGTTTCACTTCGTGCGTGTGTGAAACATCGCTATCTATGCAATGAAAAACTTGTATCAATATTAAAAAGTAATTAATGTATTTTGATTTAAAAAATAAAATCTATTTTTATGGGCATTCTTCGCATTTTCCAACCACGGATATGATTTGTCTTTATTCCATTTCTGCTTTCCACAATGTTCTGTTTTGAAAAAGAAAAATAATATCTTGGCTATTTACATAAAAAAAGTTCAGCTACCAATTTGCTAACATCTTTGAGAAACATTAAACACTTCACATTTAACGATGGGAGAATACAATTAACAGCACAGACAGTCTTTTGTTATTGATCCAACCAGGACAAAAATGTCTTTATGATAGAGAAGACTTAAAAGATGTTCAAATTAAAATAGGAATAGTGAATGTCTTTCATCGATGTATATTTATTAGAATGTACACATGCATATGTGTCTTTGTGTGTGCCAATAGCCGGATGCCTCGAAGATAAAACTTGTTTCAAATAAGGTTTATGCGCGATCGAATCGAAGCTTATCTTCCAGAATTACACAGAGTACGAAGTGTATTTGAGGAAATATTTGAATTTAATAGAACAACTGTCATCGAGCAAAAAACAAATGTATTTTAATAAAAGAATTCTACTCATTTTCTCGATAAAGTTTCTTATAAACTTATTTTATGAATCAGCCTTCAGATTCAATGACTACTTTAATCTTTTTCTTTATATGCCGTGTCTCTTCAGAACGTTGGCAATTTCCTGTCCTTTGTATCTCTTAATAACTTTTGTCTTTTTGCCATCTCACCTAAATCCTGCTCCGCTATCCATTCAATGAAGCTCTCCAAGTCGCTTGTGCGTTGCTTTATTTGTCTTACTGAACTTCAATCTGTCCTCTGAGTATCAAATTTTCAAAACCTTCTTTCCACATTATATGCCCCAGAAATTTCAACTGTCTCT